TGCTTCTACTTTCCAAATGTCATTTAAAACTCATGCTGCCTGAGAATATAAGAACACGGTCTCCAGTTAAGGAATATAAATACAAAATTTCCCATTAAGGAATATAAAATTCAAAATTGTGCTACAAGAAATGACAAATGATAAAGCAAGTAACAAGCACTAGAGGGAGGCAGGCCTTCAACATAAATGCATGATCATTTTGGAAATAGCCTCTGACAGTGTTTAATTCATGTGTGGAACCAATTTTTTCCATCCAGTTCTCTAAAAACTTGAATACTTTAAGTAAGAATACTAATAGTTGATGAGATTTTAAGTGGAGTATCTTTTTAAGAGTCCTAGAGTTCCTAAATTAGGATTTTAAATTTCTACCTATTTCAGAGGCTTATGAATTGGAGAAAACTTCTGTTTCCAAAGTATCCAAATAAAACTTCCCCAAGAGTCATGTAAAGTACATACTAGGAGAAGTATCAACATTCAGGATGATAACAAAATTAGAGGCATATAAAGCTCAGGGAAAGCAACTGGGGAAGGAGGATGAAAAGAGCCATGTGCCCCTTCTGATAGAAGTGTGTTTCACATATGCTAGTTTCTAGGGAGAAAGCACTAATCCTGTACACAGAGGCCACCTCAGCTGCTCCCCTCTTCATTGGAACAATTCATGTCAAAAGTTCCTCTAAGGACAGTTTTTGCCAACCAGCTGCTCTCCTCTCATTGTAGGAAGTCACCTCCTTTGCTCTTTGGCTTCCTGGACCTCCAAATGAGTTATGAATAGCCTTCTGCTAATGATACCCTAACAGTGATACCACAATCACAGGAGCAGCACATGTACTCAGAGAAATTACTGTGTGGTAGGTTACTTAGTCTATTAATCACTTTATCAAGCACTATAGCCTCAAGAACATTCCACCAATAAGAGACAAATTTTAGTATACAACTCAAAAAACTTTTCATTTTTACTGGAGAGCACATTTTTTCCAAGCACCTTGATATCTACAGACCACACATGAAGCAGGGTAACAGCAGAATACAGACATATGCAGAATACATACATATTTTTCCTAAAGACCTTTTAAAAAAGTTATCTATTATCTACCGTTATAACCAATGACAATTACGCAATGACAGGCAGAGATCAGTCAACTGTGCAAAAAATCTGAATTTTGCAAAGTGCCAGCACACATGGCAGAATACTTCACCTGCGCTTCATAATGTGCTGCTCTGCTTTTTTTAGCTACTACCCCATTCTACAAAATATGATGGAAGATATCAAATGTATTCTTTCCATTAAGCATTCAGACATTTTATGACTTCTGAAAAAATACATCAAAGAGGAGAAAATGCCAATCCTATGAAAACCTATGAAAAACTTCTGCTCATTCTTATGGTTTGCCAATCTAGCCCTTTGCTCAACTCTAGTAGCATGTAACTCAGCTTCTAAAAATGTACACAAACATCACAAATGCAAATTTTTTCTACATATTAAACTTTATCTATCTGGGTGCTGTGGCAAAAGGATAAACCTCTGTAAGTAAAAATTAAAAATATAAACCAAGAATCTGAAATTTTTTAAAAAGCATGTCCAATACTCCTCAAAAAAAAGGGCCCTGGCTTTATATTACTAAGATGGAAAAAAAAAAAGCTATTGGCTTCCTTTCTGGGAAATTATGTAATGATGGTCAAGCAAGTTTTCTTATGGAGAATCAGGAAGTCTTGTTACAAAAGGGTTAAAGTTTGATAAATCTTAGGTTTATCTTTCAAGAATTTTTACAGCACTTAAAATAACAGGTAAATAGTAATGTTAAATAGCAATGAATCTTAGCCTGTTAGACTCATTCAGCAACAGTTTGCACCCACCAAAGTTTAGATCACAGAGCTGCAACACTTACTGTCTCTACTATTTAAAAATAGCTTTTTTTTCCAGGAGCTGTGGAATTAATCTTGGTATGTTAAACTGTAAGAAGAGGCACAAGAGCATGAACTACGAAGAAGTGTATTACCTGTTCGCCCATACAAGCACCAGAGTTGCTTTGCTTCTGTCCAAAGGCCCCATGCTCTTGTCCCTTGCACACATCTCTAGGCAGCTTCAGCAATCATTGAAATTAATGCTTTCAATAATAGCTATGGAGTAATTCATATGACATGAATGCTTTAACTGTGCATATCCATGCCTCCAAGCATCATAAGTTTCTTTCAAGGCCCTTGTCTGCACAATTACACTTAAATGATTGTGTTCTGCTATTAAGTTTTGATCTATACCTTACACTAATTCCATATTTAATATAGAACTCACTTCAGACACAATTTGCATAATTTGCACAGGAAGGCTAGATGCTGAACTGTAACTCCAGCACAGTACACAGCAGAAACATCACTGCTTCTTACTGTTCATGGTTCATTGCTTCTACAGGGCTTGAAAGTCTTGCACTCTCAATATGCTCAATGGTGGGTATACCAGTTTTGTTGTTTCCCTACTTGACCACCACAGGCATGTCTTTTGGAAGCCTGCAAAGAAACTACTAACTCACCTGCTGCCTTCTCCTCTGCCTTTTCCAGCTGCTAGCCAAAGCTGTGAGTGCTTATGCAGGGAAGCAAGTCTCCACACTACAATGCTGGCAATCGAAAAACCATTTGTACAGAAAGAGTTTCTGACATCACTTGTGGACTAAGCACAACTGCATCAAACACACTTACTTTTTTTGTTTGAAGTGTGACTGGTTGTTGTCACGCAGATTTCCTCAAAACTACTGTATTCTTGCTAATTCTGTATTTACAAAAAAAGGAATTGAAAAGGGAGAGGACAATTGTGCTGCTGGTATGAAATGCCCTGAGTGAGGGATGAACTATATGACCTACATTCTTAAGTGAGTCAATGCAACAGCAGCCACATGGTGTGAATGAATCAATGACTGGAGATACACCAGCAATGGATTTCTACTTCCACACCAACCGCATCAAGCCTAAAAACATATCCATGTGACAACAGTCCCTTTGCTATTGGGGGGATAGGTAGGGTGCACAGTGAGAGACCTTAATGAACATCCGTACTTTTTAGCACCTGCCTCTCACAGACCATCCACATCCACAATTACTGCAGTATGTTTGTTTCACAAGGTTTGGCTTAGACAACAGAAAAGTGTGTCCAGGAATACTGCAGCTCAGTGATTATGATTTCAGCAGAAAAACTGAACTTAAAAATGCTATTACCCCACACCCGTTCCAGTGTAGCTGCCAACTCTGTAAGTAAATACGATGTACTTCACAGTATACTATACAACTGACAGAGAAAGAAAACACTTTGCAGGAGTTTATGGAGTGCAGTGGCGGCAATAGCCTGAAAGTGTTAAGGCTCAGGACAGTGAAGTTACAACTGGGACTTTGTGACTGTTGCAGTGGCAGCACAGTTGGTATCCTGTGTCACAACAAAAACAGCCCAGGTTTCAGGTATATCTGACAGAAACAGGTTCAGTCTGAGAGGTCTTATTTCACATCCAGTAATTGTATCTGAATGGATGCTGATGGTCACTGTTAAAATTAAGTCCAGCTGGCAGCACACAGAACAGAATGATAAACTTAGGGTCTGTTCCCTGTTTTCATCTATATCCTGTCTGTGGTTTAGTGCAGTACTGATCAGATGGGTTTTCTGATTCTTCTCATATGTATATCCATTTAACAGAAACTAAAAAGACATTAATATTTCAGTATCTGAGCAATTAGGCTCACTAAGTTTCTGCTTCTGTCTCACAGAACTCACCACTTCAGCTAGATAGCCACCATAGTGGTGGTCTAGGAAAATCCCAGCTCTAGATGATGCAGACATAAAGGCAACATTTAAACAGGGAAGAGAAAACCTGTCAGCAAGACCCTGGAACAGAAATCAGGCACACAGTAATGGTGCACAAAGGTAAATCTGTTGACTTGGGGATTGAGATTAAGTGCAACATGCAGCATGGTAGAGTAGCTGGAGAACAGTAATAATAATAGACAGCATAACTACCATGACAGGAAAATCGAAAGGCAGTAAATATGTAAAGGTAATACAGTAAAACCAAAAAGCAGTATTACTACTTTATCTAACATAATTAAAAACCACACTGTAATTTTTTTTTCCTTTATTCCATACAAAAGAATTACACAATTCAGTTGGGAGGTTTTCTATTATGTACCTACAAAAGTTAGTGTAAACCTTTGTAATTCCAAAATTAAATCTCAGGCAGATATCCAACAGTTGTAGCAACAAAGATGCTTCCACCCTGTACATTACTGTCTTTAAAGAAAAGGTTCAGCAGGCAAGATCATAGACTCTTTCAACATGTACATATCCAATGTACTCTCTCTCACGTTGAACAATATTTTAAACATTTGTATGGATTCTCAAGATAACTTTAAAGAATCTGCTGGCAGCTATTAACTTCTAATGTACAGAACACAATGTTATGCCAAAAAAGCTTGTTTCTTGTACTTATTTATTACCTTACCAAATTCATTTAACTGGAAATTTTTTCCATGGAGAGGATTTTTTTTTTCTGTATATCTAAATGCAGAATACTAATCTGGACTATAAACTGCACATGATTACATTCTGCAGTTTAGCAAATAAAGAGATGAACATAAGCATATTTATCAAAATACTTAACAAAGACACTGCATTCTCAAAATTTGATTTATCAGTTAGCCTTACTGTCACATAATTTTGACCAGGATACACAAGAGTTTAAAATAAAAACAAAAATCAGCTGCATATCTTGTACATATCTTGTGCAACTCCAGGACAAGGGATGAGTTTTTTTTACTAATACAAATCAGGAAACAGATTTCATGGTGGAATTATTAGAATTTTTTGAATTACTGTTTGTTAGAAAGCTTCTTAGATTTCACTGGTGTCAAGAGGCTGGACAAACCAAGTGTTTTTCTAGTCTTCCCTTAAATGCAACCAGCTTTTATGCTTTGACTAATTGTTCTGAAAATAAAACTAAAATATACTTATAAAATTAGATACTTACAGTGAAAATACCCATTAGCTGAACGTAAAAGAGTCGACTTATTCCACCTAGTATTATTAGACCCATGAAGGCAGATATTCTTAGGAGAGCAAGTTCATGTCTAAATACAAACACATCCTACAACAACACAGAAAGAAGAGAGAGGCTTTAGCAGTCACAAATTAATTAGTCTTTGAACCAAACAGAAATATTAGATAAGAGTTGTAAGAGGTGTTCTCAGTCTTAAAGCTGAAGACAAATATTGGATTTTGAGCTACCTTGTACATTATTGATGTATTTATGTTTTCAAAGCAGAAACCAACAATCTTTTCTTTATACACATTAACAGTTGGGGTTTATTTTGCCACACTGTTAAAAAAAACTCCTTCATGTAGTTAAGGTTTTGGGAATAGATGAAGCTCAAATGAGTTATTTCTGAATCTTCCACCTCAAACTGTGCCAGACTATTACACACAAGCTACACAATACAGGAAAACTACTCTGTTAAATAGTCTGATTTATTAAGACTCTTATACCTTGGCTACCAGGCACAGAACTTTTGCCTCACCTGTTCTGAAATAAAATAATATTCCAAGATTAAAACTTGAAGGTTGTACCTACAAAGTCCAAGTATCTGTACTGGATTGTATTCACTGTAGTGCTGTCTGTTATCCAACATAAACTTATCTCCAACTTTTAAATTTTGGCCTTGAGTGGATTATTGCCACTTTGGATAAGGATGAAGAGTACAGATGCTTCAGGGCACACAGAAATATGAATGTATTTGATCAGCTGCACTGGAAAGTCTGCTCTCATCCAGCAGAAAATACAAAAAGCATTGCAGACAGTTATGTAATGTCTTCAAAGACATTATTTTTATCACAGGAGAACATTTTTACGTAGCAGTTACATTAGGTGTATTGTGAGTACTGTATTCACTTTGCTGTGAGTTCAGACTCTATTCTCTTATTTTTAAGTTACAATTATGTTCTGAAGACTGTCTTCTGAATGTACACATTTGGTTTTCCACTTAGAAAAGCTAGATCATGGCAGGAAAGTATTACAACCTTTCAAGTAAACTTTAAATTACAAACAGAATATAGAAGAGAACTGAATGAAAAAACACAAAACAAACAAAACAACAAACAAAAAACCCAACAAAAATCCCAGCCAACCAATAACAAAAAACAACAACAAACTACCCCCCCAGCACTGCTTATGTTCAACCACTAGAACTTGAGGATGAGGGATACTGTGTTTTAATTAAACAGAGAATAGTTAAAGCAAATTATGTTTAGCAAAAACAAAAATCTGATTTTTCTTTTAAGTAATTTCCATGAAGATTCAAAATATAGACCTAGGAAAAAAAAGTTTAAACTGCCTACTAAATCTGTGAAGAAACTCAGTATTTAATGAACAAGTAGAAATCACTAGTTAAGCAGCTGAAACAAAAAAAATTGCCAACAGTTTTTTTCTGAAAAATTGTAATGGCGTGTCCCCTGTCTTCTCACTTGTTAATACTGGCCTTTCTTGCTGCTGTAGAAAATGTATTAATTTCCATTTCTTTTAAACTTTCTTACTTATTTAATGAGTTAATTCAAAGATAAAGCGACTCAAAATAAAAGGAGTTATACTATTCTTTATTTCCCTTTCCATTAGCCAATGAAAGCTTTAAAGAAAAGCAACAACAGTTGCACTCTCACAACTTCTACTAGCTGTAAAATACTTCTTCATATCTTCATCAGTATGTTTTATTATATTAGAAATGTTTTGATGTATTCAAGCAAAAGTTCACAGAATACAGTAAAATGTAAGAGAAGAGTGCCAACAGGAAAGTTACATTCTTAATCTAGCATGACACTCCCCCATTACCACACCCTGCAACTTCAATTTAGACATCTTTTGAACATCTCTTGAACATCATTTTTAGCATGAAAAAAAAAGAACACATGACAACAGAAAATCCTAGCACACAGAAGAGAAATTGCATTTTTATCTGATTCTTTTAACCCACATTAAACTAGGGGTACAAAAAATGACAGACCTTGCACACTAAAGATCACAGAATCATAGAATCACAGAACAATTCTACAAATGCATTGGAAAGGACCTTAAAGATCACCTAGTCCCAACTTCCCTGCTGTGGAAGGGACATCTTTCACTACAGCACGTTGCTCAGACCTCCATCAAATCTGGCCCTAAACACTTCCAGGGATGGGGCATCCATAAATTCCCTAGTCAACTTCCAGTTCCCCCTTAGCCCTGAGTAAAGAATTTCTTAATACATAATCTAAACCTACTCTTGTCAGTTTGAGACCGTTCTCCCCTTGTCCTGCCACTAGAGGCTCCTATAAACAGAATCTCTGTCATTCTTGTGGGATCCTCTCAGGTAACAGAAGCTTTCTCTTTTCTGAGATGAACAAACCCAATCCAGAGTATCACAGAATCATTAGGGTTGAAAAGGACTACTGGAGATCCCCCTGCCAAAGTAGGGTCACCTAGAGCAGGTGATACAGAAATGTGTCCAGGTGGATTTTAAGTGTCTCCAGAGAGGGAGACCTCAACCTCCCCAGGCAGCTATTCCAGTGCTCTGCCACCCTCAGTGTAAAGAAATTCTGCCTCTTGTTGAGGTAGAACTTCTTGTGCTTTAGTTTATGGTCATTGCACCTCAACCAGTTGCTGGGCACCACCAAAATGTTATCTGGCACCATCCTCCTGACACCCACCTTTGGGATGTTTCTATGCATTGATGAGATCCCCTCTCAGTCTTCCCCAGACCAAACAGGCCCAGCTCCCAGAGTCTCTCCTCACAAGAGAGAAGCTCCAGACCCCTGACCATCCTTGTGGCTCTCCACTGGACCCTCTCCAGCAGCTCCTTGTCTCTCTTGTGCTGAGGAGCCCAGAACTGGACACAGCACTCCAGGTGTGGCCTCACTGGGGATGAGTAGATGGGGAGAGTCACCTCCCTCGACCTGCTGGCCACACTCTGCACCCCAGGATACCACTGGCCCTCCTGGCCACAGGGGCACTGATGGCTCATGGACAACTTGTGATCCACCAGGAGTCCCAGGTCCTTCTCCACAGAGCTGCTCTGCGGGAGGTCAGCCCCAGCCTGTGCTGGCACTTGGGGCTGCTCCTCCCCAGGAGCAGGACCTGACACTTGGCCTTGTTGAGCCTCATTAGGTTTCTCTCTGTCCAACCCTCCAGCAGATCAAGGTCCCAGGGAATGGCAGCAGAGCCTTCAGGTGGATCAGCCACTGCCCACAAATCTTTTTTTTTACATGCTTGGAGGTCACAGCCTCCAGAGTGATCTGTGCCATCAGCTTTCCAGGGATAGAGGTGAGGCTGACTGGCCAGCAGTTTCCTGGGTGCTCCTTGTTGCCCTTTTTGAAGATGGGAGTGACACTGGCTTTCCTCCGGTCATAAGGCACCTCTCCTCTATTATTTTTCTAAGAAGATGCAGAGTGGGCTTAGCAACAACATCTGCCAGCTCCCTCAGCACATGTGTATGCTTCCCATCAGGGCCCATGGATTTATGGCTTTGTCTGCCTAGCCGATCTCTAACCAAACCCTCAATGGCCAAGGGCAAGTCTTCCTTTCTCCAGCCTTTCTCTCTTGCCTCCAGGGTTTGGTATTCCTGAAGAATGGCCTCAGCAGTGAAGTCTGAGGTAAATGAGTAATTCACTCTGCCCTCTCTGTGTCTCCTGTCACCAAGTTACCCATTTGATTTCAGCAGCATTCTCACATTTTCCCTAATCTTTCCTTTGCTGCTGATGTACTTGTAGATGCCCTTCTTGTGGTCCTTGATATACCTCGACATTCTCAGTTCCATCCGTCCTTGTCTATCCTTGTCACATCCATGCATTCTCTGTCAATATTCCTCCCATATGCCCTCTCTCTTTTTCCACATCCCTAGTAAATAAATTCCTAAGCAATTATGAACTAGAAATCAATACTGAGCCCTCAAATCTGCACAGACAGAACAACATTTTTCTACAGAAAACCAAAGTACATGCAGTAACTGAATGTTTTGGCAATTAGACTTCAATAATAAAATGGCTTACACAATTCTAAATTGTAATAGAAATATTTAACATTAACATAATTAATGTTTTCTTCTGAAAACAGAAGAAAAGACCATTTTTAAATGCCATTTTAAAACATTATTAATAATAATTATAATTAATATATTATAATTTATAATTAATAATTATTACTTACTAATAATAAGGAATTATAATGTATTTAGGATGTTGCAGCTTTGCATGAAAGCTCAATGCAATTTGGTTTTAATATTCCTTTTTAGAACAAAAATGTTTTTTTGACAAGAACATTTTCAGTTGAGAAAACCAATCAAAACTATAATCAATCAAAACTACTCAATAATTAACCAATCCCTCTTTCAATGTGTTTTGAACAGATCCTCTTAATCAAACACCACTTAGTATTCACCAGTCTCAGTGCAGAGTACTGAGACAGTGTGATTTCTTGAGTTCGGGACGCAGGCTATTTTTGCTAACACAACAATAATACAGACTGAGCCAGAAAGCATACACACAGATTAGCTGACATCATCAATACATGAAGACTTAGCTATCATGGCACAACAGGGCTTTGTGCCACTGCAGCTTCTTTTACATTGTGCCAGGCTGTCACATACGGCGTTGGCATAGATGTTAAATGCACATTCTTAGTAATGTGAGAGCTTTCCTTCAGATAGCCTCTTTCTACTCTTATCTATGTCAGCTCCACAGCCTAAGTGGTCTGTCAAAACTTCAGTTCACATGTGTTGCTGCCACTGCCTTTCTAATTAGCATTTCCTACACCACATATATATGCACTCCTGCTTAGCTGCTGCCTATTCTAAAGGTTTCTAAATTCCATTTAGCTCACATTTCTATCCATCCAGTCAAACTGCAAGGATTCTTAGTTACCCATAAAAACGGATATAAATGTGTACAAATCTTGGCACAAAGTATGTGTAGGTCTGTAGGATTACGTTGAAAAATGGACTATAAACCAAGAGATCTGGTATCTTTACCTCAACAGGCGATATTAAAACATTCTACAGGAACAAGTCTTTGTGACAGATAAACAAGAGACTTCCTCAACGCCACAGGAGAACACATGCCTCGTCTGCATTTGTGAGCATCAAGCACTATTGATGACCCCTACAATGAATGCTACCACTTACTAGGCCAACAGCTACCACAGCTTTACGCTATCATACACGAGAGAAGTCAAAAACAACGAGTCCAGCTCTAGATCGTAGTCCATTACAAGATCACCGTTTCCAAATTCAACTCTCTTTGCACCCTAACAACAATAACAAAAAAAACCCCAAAAAACCTCAGAAACATATAGCAAGTCCCTGCTCTGTGCATCATTGTGCTGTTTTCAAGGATTTCCAGTATTCCTTTAAAGCAGCACACTGTACTGAGGACAGAGCTTTTTGCAGAAAACACAGGACTATTGTATCTGTTCCAGAACAGACTATCTTCATAATTTTTCATTTTCAAAGGAAGATTGAAAAAATTAATCTTTATTTTTTACTGAAATACAACACACATTAAAATTTATATACAAGAAAATATATTAAGAGGTCCCCTTTTTCCTGGGGAACAATATTTTGTGTAAAACATGATAGCCTGCTTCTCTGTGCTTAGTTGTACATGCCTGCGATGTCTGGGATGTCTGCCCCAGCCTGCTGATGAAGCCAGTCTATCAACTTGGTTAACACAAAAACAGTGTATAATACAAAAGAAAGCCAGGCTTTCCAGAAAGAAAACTGAAAAATACAGACTGAAGGTTTTATAGGAAGAAAGTGGAAGGACTTAATTCAGTGTTCATGTACTGTCCTTACAACTACACTGTAGGAGAGCAGGGTTGGGCTCTGGGTTTTGCAGAATGCTGAGAAGAAAAATTTTGATGTTTTCATTTTTTAAAAAACTCTCCCATCCTGTAGATAATTTTGTGATCCTAAGAGAAAAAGTTTCCTTTAGTCTCTCTTTGCAGTGTAAATGGACTTCGGATGATACATATTTCCATATTTTAATTAATATTAGTCAATGCATAATATCAACAGTAGTGCAAAAAAATCCTTTTCCAAAGTCAAAGACAATGAATTTTAATTGCAGAAACAGGAACAAAATAAAACTAAACCAAAGCAAAGGAGTGTAGGTTTTTGTATGTCAGGACGTTTGGCTATGACAATTATTGTAGCAACATTTCTAGCAAACAGAATGTATCAGCAGAATTTCTTTTGCTTAAAAGATTAAAAGCCTTCTATAAATAAGGTAAAATACATTGCCAAAGCATTTACTTTTGCAAGTTCACCAGCTGTATCTAGAATCTGTGCCAGCACAGCCATGGAGAGAGCAACTATGTAGTGATGAGCAGTCTGGTATTCTCATCTCACTATTCGCAAGATTGACTACTTCCTAAAAGATACAGGCTTCCTGACTTTTTTTTTCCATGAAGATGTAAAATTAAAAATATTCCTGAGTTAACCTCTGAAAATCACCAAAGCTAGCAGAAGAACTAATATGGTGATTTTATTTGAACAATACATTTTTCTTGTGCTATCCTACAACATAATCAATTTAATTACCATCTCCTTTATTTCTAGCAGTAATTGCACTCCTCCTGCTGGACAAACAGAGGCAACAACCACAACCTAACTTTCTGGCAGTGTATCAGTTACAAGAACCAAGCAATGAAGCAATTTTCTGCAGTAAAAGGTAAAGCTGATAGATTGCCTCTCTGTAGAAGTGGCTTCCTCCAGTACCTCTAGAGCTGTCACCCTTAACTCAGAATAGTTAATTAAAAATTTTGGGGGTTTTCTTTATTGACTCTTTAAAAATACAAACACAAGTTTTAATTTGTAAGGAGATACTAATGTGCTGATCAAATTTTCATAACACATTAATTAGTTCTGTAAGAAAATTATTATTTCAAAATAGCACTAAAAACTATTTTAATTCTACAGCTTCCATGTTATGCACTACTTTATATCTGAAGAATAAAAATTTAGATGAAGGCACACTGCCAAAAATTCACAAGTATTTTTAATAAGCAAAAATAAGCTCATTCCAGATGGCTGTTTAGAAAAAAAATTAACCAGTTCCTCGAATCTAAAGTGCTAGCTAAATACTAGCCCCTGTCAATTCAGAAAATATAAGCTCTCAGTTACAGCCAAAATTTCAACAAAGAACAGTGCTTTTGTGAAAGACTGAAGGTATTGCACTCTGGAATGCTGTAGTACTTCAGCTTTAATTGATATATGAAGATAAAAGGAATCTTGCAGAAAGCTTGCCTAAAACCCTAACTACTACTAAGCCAATCTTCTCACTGGTCCTATTCATTTGGTGTCAAGAAGACATAGTTCTGACAAATTACTCTATGGCACATACCTATACAGCATCACATCCTTAGCAACTCTTTAGAAAACCAGCTTCATGGAACTCTGGTGTCATCTTCCAGGCAGATATATTGACTAGGCATACCAACAAACTATTTTAGTTTCTCTACTTCACTGTGTGCTCTCCCATTCTGCAGCGGAAAAACAGAAAAAGCTAAATACTATTCAGTCTTACACTACACTTAACAAAGGTCAGAACTGCCCAGACCTGCTGTGTTCTCTGGTTTTTTATACCATATAAACATATTTTTCTCTCTGGGGCACAGAATACTATTATATATATATATATAT